ATTTTATTTGCAATATCAATACACATCAAATGACTTAATTAAATAATTAATAAAATTAAAATTGATTTTTACTTTTATATAAATTAATAATAAACAATTATAATAAATGAACCCTTTAATAAAAAAAAAACACATGTTAAATTGGAACCAAATCTGAAATAAAGTTTAAAAAATCCATATTAAATTAGGCCTAAATCGTTTTAACCCATGTATAATCCAGTATGCACCCAAAACAGGTAAAAACATTTTGTTTTTATGGAAAAAAGAGAAATTTTGATTATTTAAATGAACTGAATTTAATTTTAATATGTTACTATAAACAATATTACTTTTATTTACTTTTTAGCAAATTTAATTTAATTTTTATTTTTTTAAATATAAATTTTATATAAAAATTTAGTATTTTATATAAATAATAAGTAAAAAATTTTATTAAATAAAAATATTGAAGAATTTCATGTAAAATTTTTTTAATTATTATTTATATATAAATTAAATATTAAAATAAATCTACTAAAATTAAAGGAATAAAGTAATAAATATTAATATGTAATTTTTTTTTTTGTTTAAATCACCCGATATTTAGAAATCTACTCAATTATTTACTAATCTAGATTTGGATCTAATAAAATCCAACAAATAACAAAACTTTCCTTTATAAATTTTAACAAAATTACATTTCCAAAACTTAAAACCAAAATCCCTATTTAAATTAGAAAAGTCTCTATTAACTGATCCACCGGTTTTGGTGGGCGTAATATGTAATATTATAGAATAATTATTTTATTGATTATTAGTTTTTCTTTTTCGAATGACATAGATGAAGATAAAAATTTGAGAATTTTTCGTCCCCTTAAATAATTAGAAATTAGATAGAATGTTTAATTACCTCCAGAAGAACCCTCATCAAGTGTCATAATTCCGGCTTTTCCCTTCTCTTTCGTCACCTTCTCTTTCATCTTGGCTTCCTGTACTTGGAATTCCAGAATCAAGAATCTAGTTCTTGTGAATTTTGGAATCCCCGTCCTGATTTCCTTCACCGGGTCGATGAATCTGTTGTTGAATTCGAAGCATTAAGCGAATCGATGACCAACAGCTCAACGACGCCTGTGGCTAAACCGGACCTCAGCCCACTGGTCTCGCCGACCAGCTCCCGGTCGGTGACGCAGACGGTGAACGGATCGCACAAGTTTGTGATCCAGGGTTACAGTTTGGCGAAAGGGGTGGGGGTGGGGAAGCACATTGCCAGCGACAATTTCACCGTGGGTGGGTACCAGTGGGCCGTTTACTTTTACCCCGATGGCAAAAACCCTGAGGATAATTCTGCCTACGTTTCGGTTTTCATAGCTCTGGCTAGCGAAGGGGCTGATGTCAGGGCACTGTTTGAGCTGACGCTGGTGGATCAGAGCGGGAAGGGGAAGCACAAGGTGCACAGCCATTTCGATCGCTCTCTTGAGGGTGGCCCCTATACTCTCAAGTATCGCGGTAGTATGTGGTTAGATTTTCTCATCTTGAATCTCAAATTCGACATTTTTTTCGTTGGTTTTGTTGATTGCTTTGTTAAATTTCTATGTCAATACGTTCAAATTTAGACGAAAGGAAAAAGCTTGTTGGGTTTAATTGAAAGTTTTTCCCCTCTTTTTGAATGGATGATAAATATTGCCGTACATTGATATTCTATATGGGTTCATTTCCCCCATTTCCATTTATCCTGTAGGGGATACAAGCGATTTTTCAGACGAGCTATGCTTGAATCGTCTGATTACCTCAAGGGTGATTGCTTGCAAATTAATTGTACAGTTGGAGTTGTGGTTTCAGCAATAGATTGTCCAAGATTTCACACAATTCAGGTGCCACAGTCTGATATAGGATCACATTTTGGCAAGCTGTTAGAAAATATGGATGGTTCAGATGTTACTTTCAATGTCGCTGGGGAAAAATTTCATGCTCATAAGTTGGTGTTGGCTGCTCGTTCCCCTGTATTTAGGTCCAAATTTTTTGATGAGGCAGAGGAAGATACGCGAGAGGTTGTCATTACCGATCTAGAACCTAAGGTTTTTAAGGTGATAATACTGGATATCTTTGGTTTTCCCTTTCCTTTTTAAGGGTTTGGATCTTTAATCATTTCATATTCATCATTCCTTCTTTTATTTGTGTTTTTTCTCAAACAGGCATTGTTGCATTTCATATATAGAGACACATTGTCTGAAGATGTCGAGAGTGTGGGGTCTAGCTCCTCTTCAGTGTCCTCAATATCTGAAACATTAACAATGAAGCTGTTGGCAGTAGCTGATAGGTACGGTCTTGAGAGACTCAAGATGATGTGTGAATCACACCTTTGCAAGGATATATCTGTGAATACTGTCTCCAAAATGTTAACTTTAGCCAATGACTATCGTGCTATAGAGTTAAGAGCTGTGTGTCTCAGATTTGCTGCTGAAAACCTTGCTGGTAAGTCCTATGTCCTCCATCTCCTACGTAATTTAGTCTCTCATCATCCATCATTTGGACGGCATGACAAGTCAAAAGTGGTAATAAACATGACATTGCTGTCTTGAGATATCCTATTAGAGAATGCTATTTTTTAAATAACCTCAACCAAATATCAATTTCTAAATTAAAACATGGATAATCCTTTTGCTACTTAATTAAGATGGTAGGTTTCTTTTTCTTTTTTGTTTTTGGTTTTGCTACATGTGGTAGGTTTTTACTGGGTCTTCCTGCTTCTGAAGGGGAATGAGTTCAGAATTATGTATAATTGGGAGGTGCTTAACTTTGGATTCTTTTCCTATATAATGATGCATGCCAATGTATATTTGTGGTAGTTTTGTCTGTGCTTTTGTGTCTGCTCAGATGTCATTGTTCAAGACTATCTATACAGGGAAGGATAAAACTGTGAAATTAGGCACTTTTTCTTATGGGAGGTACAAGTAATGATATATCAAATACATAACATATCAACCAATCAATCACAAATACAATATGAGAAACCACTGTCGGACATGACATGGTCCTGAACTCCAATGCTTCAGCCTTTCAGGGTCTCTACCTTACTACTAAGCCAAGGCTTTATTGGCCCCTCAGCACATATTATAGAGATGTTAAAGAGTATTGACGAGTATATTTTTTCATTTGTGTGGTAATACTGATACAATAGTTTCCTAGCAGAATTAGGGTAGAGTACCTAATATACTTTATGAGGGTTGAATTGTGTATCTGTTCAGCTTTAGATCTCGAGGAACAAAGATTAGAAGCTAACATTGACTCTAGTACCTATTTGTTTGTTAAATAAAGAGAACATATGTCTATTTGATTATTGGTTAGAATATTTTTGGTATTTGTAAGACTTGGTTGTGGCTTATGGGTGAGGGGCACTGGCTCATGTTTTTTGGGGGCTCATAGACAAATATCCATTTCTGTTCAAGGTGTCCAATATTTGTGTGACACATGTTTGCTATATTGGACAATAACTGAATTGTGATCCTCAATCATTGGAAATAAAAAATTCTTTTGTTGTACAACAAGTATAAATCCGTATGGCTATTGCAGTGTAATTAAATATAAAGTGACATAGAAGCAATTCAGAAGTTAATGATCATCGCAGAACTGTTTATCATATTTTTAGATCTCAAATTTTCAGGATCATAAGAAATGGTAAAGAAGGCAAAAGTCTCAAATGATGACTGGAATTTATTGTCATGCTTTGATTTTTTCTTTCTTTTTCCCTTGTGCAAGAATTGTCTCTCATTCTCCAATGTTGGTTCTTTTTGTAGCTGTCATGCGATCAGATGGCTTTAAATACCTAAGAGAGAACCACCCAGCACTGCAGTCAGAGATTCTGAAGACAGTTGCAGGATGTGACCAGGATTGTAGCAGTGGAGGCACAAAATCACGGAGTGTGTGGGCTCAACTTTCAGATGGTGGTGACACTAGTGGTAGGAGGGTCAGGCAAAGAACCTGAAAGTAGTTGATGATGGTTTAAAAATTGAAAAGCAAATCAGCAAAACCATCATCAAACATGTCTAGTTTCTCATGGAAGGTACAGCCACAAGGCAGTAAACAAAGTCTTGTAGATAGTGAGATATGAGTTTTTACTGTAAGTTGATGCTGTGCTGTGTTAGCTGTCCTGTTTTTCAAGATTTGTAAGTACCTAAGACATTAAGAACATGGCTCTAGTGTCCTCTGTAGTTTGCTAACAAGTTTTACTTACTTTCCAGTCAGCTGTTAACTTTGTGATAATCTGGTTCTTTTTCTTGGGTACATGATACATCATGCTTCTATTTTAATTTCTTCCATCATTCTTTAACATTGAGAAGGCTTAGCAGCCAAAAATTTTGTATTTTAGTTGTTTTATTAGTTAGAGATTCTTAAGATGAGCTGACCAATTTTTTTCTAGTCAAAAAATTAGTTTGCTTGCTTGTGTATATCTCTTTATTATTAATTTTTTTAGTACATTGAAAAGTAAGCTAGTTGAGAGGAGTTTAAATTTAAACTTTAAATCTCTTTACCTTGACTCCAAATTGAGTTTTATATTTGGTAAATATCAACTTAATTAAGGTATTGGTAGTTCTAGCCTTTCTCTTATTGGGTTAAGAATGTAATTATGAATCTATAATTTAAATTTCAATACAAAATACCAATAATAGTTGGATGGAATCTTTTTAACTTATGTCTTTAAAAGATGTAGTAATTATATTTTTTATAATTAATAAGTATAAAAAATAAAAATTAATTTTAAAATTATCAATCATTTAATAAAAGTTATTCACTTGACACTTAACAATAGGATAATGATAAGGACATCATATCATTAAATTAATTTTTGTATATAATATTATAATATTATAGATTTTAAAAAATAAAGAAAATTTATTATTAAATAATAAAAATTTTATTTTTTAATATTTTAAATAACATCATTGATATCACATCATTAATATTAAATTTTAATATTATTTATTAATATTATTAAAAATAATATTTACTTTCGTATTTTTTTATAAAAAAATTATTATAAAAAAATATAATTAATGTATCCTTTCAGCTGAATTTATTCGAGATAAAAAATTACTCTATGACCAATGAATGTCAAAAAAAATAAAAAATAAATAAAAATTATAACTGTTGAAACTGCCTGATGATCAACACGTAGGACAAACTCGTAGGTCGGTTGGCTTTAATCTGGTCGTAATCCGAACGTATTCTTACCGCCCAAGAAACTCGGGCATGTAAAGTTCTCGCCTTTCATCAGATACTGTGTCTCTACTTGTACGCGTTGCAGATAGTTCTCCTTTGGGGTTGAAAAAAAAAGGGGGGGTAGAGAACTGTTCACTTCGTCACTGACGGCCGTGATACGGCGGAGATCCTAGTCGGAGCACGATGGTCCGCCAGTGGTGCTCTCACTGCCTCCAGTTTTGCAAGGCAGCGCTCGCCGCTGGCTTCATGTAACGTCACTTCTTTACTGCTCCTACTTAATGCGTTTTGATTCTTTAATCATACCCCCTTTCATATCCTGTGCAGATTTTTCCTTTTCTTTTCCATTTAGTGCAAGAAATGTGATGAATTCGATCTCTTTTTTGATTTGATTTCAGATCTTGTTCAACCTGTGGAAAGGTGTTAGGTCCGATACTGCTGAAGAATGTAAGATTTAAGAGAAAGAAAAAGAGCAAGAAAATCAGACATGCTAACATTGTTACCGGAGTTGATACATCAAATTCTGAGGGAATTTCAAAATCTCAATGAAGATTCAGTCAACCAGTGGCTTGTTTGAAGGTTAAGTCCTACACTTTAACTGTGAATTTCTCTTTCCTGAAAAACAAAGTTACATCTACTATTACTACTGTATGCATGATCAACAGAAAAATTATGCTTTACAGTATTCCATCTGCATGTGGTCTTTTTTTTTTCTTTTTTTTCCTTTTTGGCACTGGTTTTCTTGAAAGAAATTTACCAATTGATGATGTATATGAAGAAGGGCAAGTCTAACATGAGAGAAAAGAGGCAGTTAGCTTAGCCAAGGAGACTGCCTGGACACCGAATGCTCATCCTAATATGCTTTGGAACAACTTTCAGAGGTGCAGGCAAGTCATCCTTGGCTACCAAACAGACTCTTGTCTTCATGTAAGGCTTCTTTCCTTTGCTGATTAATGGTTCAAGTTGGAGCAATTCCTCTGTTTTTGTAGACATTGCAGGAATTGGGAAGAGAAGAGGCTATAAGACTAGCCAAGGTGACTGCCTGAACACCAAATAAGCAAGTTCCTTGCCCATGGACAATGTGCTTTGGAACAACTTTCCGTGGTGCACTCAAGTCATCCTTTGCTACCATATTAGACTCTTATCTTCATGTTAGTTTTCTCTCCTTCAGTGGTTCATGCTTCAATTTGGAGACATTTGTCTGTGTATATAGACATTGCTGGAATGGGGAGTTTAGCCCATATTGCGACATTTGTTTAGATTCCCTTCCATTTCCTGCTTGCTTATGTGTCTTCTTTTCTTGCACCGTTAATCTGCATTGTTCAGCTGCCCATTATGGAACATATTCTTCTTCTTCTCCCTAATCCTTTGGTTTTTCCATTTTTGGATAGTGAATTAGAAAGGCATAGCTCTGCCCAATTGCATAAATCCATAATCTAGTTTTGAAATGCTATTGACACATGGCTAAACATAAGGTTAAATGGAATAAAATCTTCATATAGGGGAAATCTCAATGACTGAATTATTTGCTATAATAAAATACACAGCTTTTTCATCTGACTTTACAAATTAGAATGGACCTCACACTTGGGTTTTTTGACTGGAATTTGTTCTTCCATTTTAAGTTAAGGTCAAACCCTTGTGGGACAAGAATATGAGTCAAATAGCAAAGAATAAGTTAAGAGAAGAAAAGGGTCCCTTGCTAGAGAGGGCTTTTTCATCATGGTTCCCTTGACTTATCTCAGTAGACATATGATTTTCTATTCCTCCTCCATATCCATTACTGGAATGATATGAAGTTCTGATGAAGAAGAATATATTCCATTAAATCGTGGCAACTTTGATACAAAGCATTTGGGTGGAGCGAGAGAAAGTATGAAGGAGGGAAAAAAAGAGAGAGAATAGTTTTGGATTCAAATCTGATTATTCTTTGGAGGTCAGGCTATAAATAGAGAGCTGAAGACATTGAATTGGCATCCAACCAAACAGGCCCAACATATATGAAAGGAAGGGAAATGCCTCCCTTCCTCTTCTTCTTGACTTGGCATTACATCATGAATTGTAGAATGGAGGCCTTACATGACGACAAGAGTCTGCTGAATAGCCAAGGCTGACCTGCCTGTTCATAACAAGATGTTCTAATTTTGGAACTCGTCTGCTAGTCAGGCAGTCACCTTGGCTAAGTTGGCTGGCCCTTCTTCTTCATGCTAGGCTATCTCTTCTTCCTCTAAGGCATCTAACACTATGTTTATCTCCAGAGTTTTTATCCAATCTCTTTGTTTATCTTTTTTTTGAACAAGGGCAATTTTGAAATAAGAAAAAGAGATTGAACTCAACCCATGAGATTAGAAACACACACTTAACCAATCAGATTGCAAGATTATGTGTGTAGTTTTTATTGAACCATTTAATAGATGCTATTTTTCAGAAATTAATTTATTTGAAGTAATCTTACTTGTAATTAACTTAAAATATTTTAATTGTAATGATATTTTAATAATTTAAGTATGGTACTTCTAAATATAAAAAAATAAAAAGAATGATAAAAAAAGAGAATTTTCTTCTATCATATTTTTCCATAAATCAAACTTATTCTTTATTTTCCTCAAAAAAAGAGGTTATTATATTTTTAAGAGTTGCGTTGATTAGAAAAAGGGAAAATTCCATCCAATCTCCAAAGTTCGTTTGGGGACTCAATTGAGTGAAAAGAAAACAATTGGGGTCATTTATAACATTCTCTAAAAAACTAATTCTTCGTGTCACTTGCAAGGTTATTTAAGTAATTAAAAAACATTAAACAGACAGCTGATAGCTTGACACGCCAACGCACACCGTTCGATCATAATCCTCTAATCCAACGGCTGAGGAAGAAACCCTAAACGCAGAATGGAAGTTGCTGCCCTTAAACCACAGTCGGTCTCTCATATCCCATCCCAACTGACCCGTTAACTCCTGAAGTCGATACATACTCTTCTTCTTCTTCCTCTGCTAAAGGTTCAGATCCTCCTTCTCCCTCTGTTCTTACGTTATTATTATTTATATTCAGTCTCTGATTGTATCTGAAATGTTTGTGTTGAGCATCGTTTAATTTGTTGTGGGGTTTGCCTAAATATATTGATTCTCTTTTTGGGCAATTGTTTTTTGGGTTTTTGGTATTTTTTGTATCCTGTTCTTGGTTTGAGTAAATTTGGAGTCTTGATTTTGTTTAGATTCCATAATCTGTGATTAGGGTTTTTATAGAATGTTGGTACAGTACTATGGTGTTTGGATGATGTTGGGGATATTGTTTTCTGTTGGGTACGTTTATCATTGGATCTGCAATCTTAGGTAATTTTGAGTTTATATGAATTACGTCCAAAGTTTGATGTTTGGGGGTCTTTATTTCTGGGCCATTTTAATTTTCTTCCTATTCCTTTTAGCTGATTTTCGAGGTGTAGGAAGCATGTGATTGCAACCCACTAAGCTCTTCTGTAAAAGAGATGACTTTTCCCTCTTATCTTCTCTGGTTGTTTGATATAAGGCTTCCATGTGTTGATCATTCCTATAGATGATGTCCTTTTTTAGAGTATTTAAATCTACTTTTAAACTGTAGGCATATTTATGTTTAAAATGTAAATATAGTGGGCTTCTTATCTTCTCTTTCATTTGTCTGACTGTTTATTCTGGCATGTAGATGAATGTTGAGAGGCTACAAAAGATGGCCGGTGCCGTCCGCACTGGTGGGAAGGGAAGCATGAGAAGGTGTGTAATTGATTGGAATTTTGTTTAATAGTTTATTTTATTTTTGTTTCCATGTCAACTGCATTATTCTTGTTACTGGTTAATGTGTTCTCAACATTGTTTGTGTTGGCCATATTGTCATTGAGGGATGTTTATAATCTTTGCCTTAAATGACCTGATTTTTGATTTTGTTAACTGCATGAATTCATTTGTGATAAATCATCTTTGTCTTCTAGATATGGTCCTTAATGTTTTGTTTCTTGCTATTTTGATTTGTTTTAATAGAAAGAAGAAGGCTGTCCATAAGACTACCACCACTGACGACAAAAGGCTACAAAGTACCCTCAAAAGAATAGGAGTAAATGCTATACCTGCAATAGAGGAAGTTAACATCTTCAAGGATGATGTTGTAATTCAATTTGTTAACCCCAAAGGTAGATGCCGAATTGCAGATTAGTGGCATGTGTATCCTTTAGTTTTTTTACCTGGTTTTTGTTGTAAACTAATATTTGGTGGTTTATTTTTCAGTTCAAGCATCAATTAATGCTAACACCTGGGTTGTTAGTGGTGCACCACAGACAAAGAGTATGGCTCTCTTTCATCCTGAGACCCGTAGACATTGATAAAATCTATTTGCTATTAACAGATGAAAATGTGCTGTCATCAAGATTTGAGATTTCTCAACTAGTTTAAAGTTTCCCCAGTTAATTATTTGTCTTGCTGTCTGCTTGATGTTTTAACCTGTTATATTTTTGGTGTTACAGAATTGCAGGATATTCTCCCAGGAATTATCAATCAATTGGGTATGAGTTTATCTCTCTGTTTAATGTCTTAGTTACAGTTGTTAGTTGTTCATAACTGAGGATATGAACTCGCTAACCCATTCCTTGTGAATGTTTCAGGCCCAGATAACTTGGACAACTTGAGGAAATTGGCAGAGCAGTTCCAGAAGCAAGGTCCTGCAGCTGGTGAAGATGCAACCAACACACAAGAGGAGGACGATGATGATGTCCCTGACCTTGTGCCTGGGGAGACCTTTGAAGCTGCTGCAGAGGAGGGTCAAGCTGCTAAATAGAGTTTTTAGAGAGATTTTGTGTTGTTTTATGTATCTTCCATAATTTGGACAATCATCTGTTTTTCAATTCTGGTGTTTTTAATTAATCATCTCCTTGTGACACACTGGATAGTGTTACTCTGGATGCTTTTGATCTGATCCAACCCTCTCTTTCCCAAATTTCCTGAATGTTGTCGCATCATCTCCCATATATGATCTTATAAATATCTAACATTGTGTGACTGAAAAGTGTAGTAGTTTTTACTGTCTTTTTTGACTTCTCTTTGGGTTCACCATTCAAATTGAGAAATAAGTCTTCTATTCGCATAAAGTTGCAAAACGTTCCAGCAGAGCTTCAGCTTTTGTCCTCGTTATTCAGCAGTTTGGCATATAGGTTTACATTACATACTGCAAGTAGTGCAGCCTCCCTTCAAACCTAAGATATGCCTACTGTGGATTCTTTAAATAAGTGGAACCCAAGCAGCGGCACCAAGACAAGGCCGAGGTATTTGGAACAAAAGGGTCTCTTTAGTTAGTTTTTATTTTCTGACAAGCAAAATAAATTAATGGCAGTACGTCTCCTTAGTTGTAAAATGGAGATGCAGTGTTGCAGTAGAAGCTGTACAAAACAAGAGAAGGATTTGAGAACCTGGGGAAGTGAAGCCATTGTTCCTCCGAGAATGTTATACAAGTCTCTTTATGTAAGGTCTTTATTTTTCTTAGTTGCTGCTTTTGGTTTGTGCAACATGCAACGGAGAAGCGAAAGCCTACGATGAAAGAAAAAAGAGCCTTCTAGCCTTGCGCCAAAGTGCCTGCCTGCCTGCTAAAAAATGGGTTCCTCCATTCATTGTTGTCGTAAACGAAAGTCGAAACCTCTTGCAAGGCAAAGGCAAGTCATCCTTGGCTATCAAACAGGATTCTATTCTTCATGTGTGGCCTCTTTCCCTTTCAAATCTCAATTCCATGCCTATCTCTAACTCTGAAGTTGGTACTTATATGCCTCAACATTATATGTGAAAATAACTTATTCTCATGAAAGACTAGTGAACAAATCATTAGATTCTTCATTCTCAAGAGATTAAATTCACACACTTATTTGCACGCCACAGGGCTCTTATGAAATTCCCCTCTTTTCTGCTTCCTCTACAACTAGCACATATTCTCTTCCTGAATGTCTAACCAATTATTTGCATCAAATTCCTTTAGAGCTGACTTTATATGAGTTGAAGATTAGCGGATGCAATTTTCCCATCCCTGTTTCAACAGCGAAAGACAACAAATTATCGCCTTACCCTTTTATCAGGATCGAAAAGATATAAAGAGGATAAGAAAGTTAAAGGTTCCAAAGGTTTGCAATCCAAAGAAAATATATTCTCCAACCCTTATCAGGCATACAGATTACTAAAATGGAGGTCGGTTGTCCAGCGCCACCAGAATCACTGCATTGAGCCATCAAGTGAAATTTTCAATTATGCAGAGTTTTTCAGCCAAGATTTTGCAACTAGTCACCAACCCTTTATCTTAATAATTCATCTGAATATTATTGGAATTTATTCTCTACTTTAAGTTCAAATCGAATGATTTTAAGCTTTGGAGTTCTCTAGACTACAAGAAGTGTTAGGACTAATGAGAAAGAGGGTTTATTTAGTTCTGCATCCAAGTCCTATCTTAGCCATTGATAGGTTACATGGCTATAAATACAAAGCTCGGGACACAAGCATCATAGTGATTTGAGAGAAACTGAGGCCTAACATGAAGGAGTGGTTCTTTCTTGAAAGCCAGGAATGACTTGCCTACACACTCTAAAGATTTTAGAATTTGGAGGCAAGTCATCCTGGCTCTCTTGGCAGCCTCTTCTATTCCATGATAAATCTTCTCTTCTACACATCTACCACAGAACATTCTACAATACTATTGTGATTTTCTTCCCTACCATTTCAATTTCTTTGCATGTTTTCCATGCTTCTTGTTGAGCATGATGAAAACTCAACAAAGGAATTAGCCAGCAAGGAACAAAAAGGGGTTTCTTACCCAAAAAATCAACCCCTGTAGTACACATGTTCTTCAAAAAATAATTCACTTAAGATATTTCTGAGAATCTTTTATTTTTTTGGTTGAAAGTTCCAACAAAATTGTGGTTCTTTTTGGACGAAAAAATAGAAGACTCCAAAGATTCTGTTATCTACATCCCTATCAGAACATTAAAATTGATACCACAAAATTGCATCACATTTGTCCAAAAAACCCATATAAGAAAACATGCATTTATGGTTTAATCTCAGCTAACTCTTGTTTCTCTTGAAAAAAAAAATGAAATTAGCTGCTTAATCTCTGTTCCAACCCAAGCTCCCAAGCTGCTCAAATCCTCTCTCATCACCCATCTTATTTTTCAAAAGTTTCTCCTGTTTCTTTTAAATCTGTAATCCTTTTTCAAAAGCTTTTTCTACAGATGTTGTTGAAAGATGACTTCTTGAACCTATTGGCAAGCAATTAACTCATTTCTTTCTTCCATTTTTTGTCTTTGATTAGGGTTTTAGACTGAGTCCTTCACATGTGTGCATTTCTTTTGAATTTGAGCTCATAAAAGGAACAAAACAGAATCTACACCAAAAATTCCCCTTCTTTTTTTCTCACTAATGTTGGATTTATTGCCCTTTCTGGTTACTATTGTGAGTAATTCTGTTACATGCATGTAAACATACATTGTTCTTCATGTTCCTGCTTCAAGAATGTAAATGATAATACCAATTGTACATGGCACTATCTAGAGTGAGGTGACATTCAGCCTTCTTCCTGGGTAGGCTGATGTGGTGATTCCAGTTTCAACAGATAAATCATACATGTATTACTAAAAAGAATATTAGTTCAGGGTGTAAAAAGACAAAAATATCATTAATGAATTGAATTTAAGTACAAATAGTAATTTTATCTTTACACACTTTTGGGCTGATTTTTTTAGAAGGTGGACTATAAAGTAATTTTTAAGATTCATGTTACGATTATGAATTTATCAAAATATATATACTTAATAAAATTATTTCTTGGAATTTATTTTCTATGATCTAATATAGTTATCCTATTTTTTATATTTATGATTATTGAAACAAATTTATTTATTATATCATTATCTATTATCAAAAAAAATTTATTTATTATAATAATTAGAACTTATCATTCTATTTAATTTCACCCTTATTTATTATAATTAGACGAAAAAATTATAACACATTTCCTTCTTTTTTGAAACAATAGTAAAATTGAAAAATGAAACAATTAAATTAAAGCATCCCTATTTAAAAAGTATGACAATTAAATCTAATAAAAAAATAAGTAATTTTAACAAATTATACTTTTTTAAAATTACTAAATTACCATTGATAAAATAAGAAAAGAACTAAGAAATAATTTTATTAAGAGTATTTTAATAAATTTATAAATTAAATATGTAGTATGATTTATAAAACACTTTTTCATTATTTTTTTTTTACTAAGAACAATACTTTTCTAAATATAAGAAAATAAAAATAAAAAATAAAAAGTTCGATTGCAGCATGTAATAATGCATAGGTTTTCCACTTACCTGGTTATGAGCTTCTGCAGGCCCAGTCTAAGGCATGAGGCCCAGGCCCAATCCAACTAACCAGGCGCCGATCACCTGCGGGCGAGACTACTCCAACACATCATCTTCCTCTTGCTCTCAACGCAGACTCCAAACATTTCCTTCCATTACGAGACGAAGCTGCCATAGATACTCTGCTAAAGTCAAAACCCTAGTTTCTATTTTCCTCTGCAATTCCTTCGTGGATAAACGCGATATTTTCCAAGCTTTGGATTTGGAGCTCGGAAATGGAACTCGCACAGTCGCACAAAATAGAGATGATAAGCATAGCCGTCGCCGTCGTTGCCGTCGGCGCTGCTACGGCTTACTACTTCTACGTCACGAAGAAACCTAAAGCTAAAGGTACTCTTCCATCTTTCTTATGCAGAGTTACGCATCTTGCATGTTCAGTTGATCTTAATCAGATAGCAATTTAAGTATGTAATGTTAGATTCAATCGGTGTTTTACCTCTGTTTCTTGATAGGCTGCTTGGATCCTGAAAATTTCAAGGAATTTAAACTTGTTAAACGCACTCAACTGAGCCATAATGTGGCGAAGTTTAGGTTTGCTCTTCCAACTCCAACATCCGTTTTGGGGCTTCCGATTGGACAGCACATGAGTTGCAGGTTTGCTCTGTTACTGCCTTTTTTTATTTGTATATGTGATATAATGCCAATTGTGTCTGCATTTTCGGTACTTGAATAGTTTTAGGTAGGCATTAGGTTGCATTGTAACCTATCAGTCACTTAAAAGTGAAGTTATTTTCTTGAGCAGAGGAAAGGATAGTGTTGGTGAAGAAGTTGTTAAGCCATATACTCCAACAACTTTGGATTCGGACTTAGGATACTTTGAGCTAGTCATAAAGGTACATATAAATGGACTACTTTGGTTTTTGTTGTTAATTGGTCATTCTCATTATTGTCTGAATTGGCATATAGAAATTAGTTCTTCATCTTATATAGATGTATCCACAAGGAAGGATGTCCCATCACTTTAGGGAGATGCGTGAAGGTGATTACTTGGCTGTGAAGGGACCTAAGGTAAACTTGTTTAATCTGAGTTTATTGCATGGTATTACCATGTTGGCATTTTCGTATTCTTCTTTGCATGATGTGTTGTGTTCTTAAAGAGAATTGATGCTTCTGTAATGTCAAGGGATTTTGAATACACATAAGTTTAACCTATTATTTCATGATTCTACAACTTTTACCAATTCCAAACTCTATTTTGATCATGAAAGTTTGTGTTCATGAATAATACCATGTTCTGTGGGGTGAAGATTTACATAGGATATTTTAGGAGGGACTTAACTATGACAATAAATCTAAACTAACTTATTATATTTTCTTGTTGATTACTTGTAATTAAAAATGTTTGCTCAATTTGCAAAGCAAGAAAATTTGTTTGCTCTGGCAGCCTAGGTATGTGCATATGATTCTTGACACAATGCACATCTCCATTGTTCTATTTGTTTTCAATTTTAACAGGCAACTTTTCGATGAGTATTTCTTCCTTCATTTTTCTGATGGATCTGTTTTTTAGGAGACTGGCCCTTAGAAACATCAGCCTATGGTTCATCTAATATTCAACAAACAACTCATAATTATTTCCATATGATACTTGCAGGGGCGCTTTAAGTATGAGCCTGGCCAAGTTAGAGCATTTGGGATGCTAGCTGGGGGCACTGGCATTACTCCAATGTTCCAGGTATGTTATCTTTTCTATTTTTCTCAGTTTTTCATCTTTTTGCAAATTATCTATTTAGTTTACTAGTTTCTTGTTTCTCAATTGATTTCCTCAGGTTACACGAGCCATATTGGAAAACCCAAGTGACAAGACCAACATTCACCTTGTTTATGCCAATGTCACTTATGAAGACATTCTCTTGAAGGTGCTCTCTCTCTCTCTCTCTCTCTCACATATTATGTATAACAAATGGGAGTTTTCTTCTCATTTCATTATTGTGCAATTCCAAAACCAGGATTACCATTCCATTTCTGATCTTACTGTGGCAGTGGCAGGAGTTTGCTATAATGTGAAATAATGATATGAGAGATCTGAAAATGATAAGAACTTGGAAAAGCAGTGCAATATTAACATGCCACTTCTGCTGGTTGATAGTTGTATGCTAATTTATTCAAGTATGTTTTCAGGAAGAGCTGGATAATCTTGCAAGTAAATTTCCTGATCGGTTCAGTATCTACTATGTTTTAAATGAGGTGAAATTCCTATCATATGCTGTTGTGTTGCTAGTATTCTCTGTCTTTCTTTTTAATTCCTTTCCTTCAATGCTCAAGTCGTGATTTTTTTCCTCTTGTTTAGCAGACACTTCACATTATTTAGCTTGGTGTTTTCTTCCTCCTTTATGGGAAAAATAATCCATTATTCAAATGCCAGTTTGTCAGCTATTTTTTTTATAAGCATTTTATGTAGGAATATACCTATATTGTGTTTTCCTTGTCAGCATGATTTATTTTAGTTGTGTGAGTTTTGCAGAATCTCTTAAGTTTGTCAGGTTGAATCTTTTTATGGATGTGCTGATGTGTTTTATGTTGAAAAATCACCTTCAGCCGCCTGAAGGATGGGATGGTGGCGTTGGGTTCATATCAAAAGAAATTATCCAAACTCACTGCCCTGCTCCTGCACCTGATATTCAGGTAAACATTGAAAATCTCTTTCTATCTCTCTCAGCTTTGTTGTGATAAGGGCAGAGAGATTGATCTTTTGACCTGTACAGATATTGAGGTGTGGACCACCACCAATGAACAAAGCTATGGCTGCTCATCTAGAGGCTCTTGGATACTCCCCTCAGATGCAGTTCCAGTTTTAAGCCTCCAATGGTGCTTCTGTCACTTTAGTGTCAACTTGTTTCAAGAATGTTCATCAACCTTTTATGGTTGTTATTATTTCAAATGGATGACTACCTGCCTAATGTATGAGTAATTTCACTGTGGGAGTAAATTTCCACTGAAACGAGAATCTGTATTATGGGATTTGCAAATGATAGAATGCATGCTTTTTAAGTTCAAATATGATTTTCTCTTGATGATTGCTAATATTCTTTGCCCTCCTACAAATGTTAAACGTTGTATGCCTTTTTCTGTTTGCTCATTTGACTTAATTTTCATTTCTAACCTGCTTGGATTTTTCGTTTCTGAACAGCAGAGATTAGTAACATATTCCATTTTGTTCATCTTTTGAGAATATGGGACATTGCAACTCTATTATGATGACTTCCATCAAATTCTCTCTCTCTCTCTCTCTGTTATTTGTTTTCAAGAATGTGAGTGCTGGAGGATCATTTTGGAGGGAACCTTCCTTGAAGAAATGAGGAAATCATCTGAAGTGCGCTCTCTGGTTTGTAGCTGGGAACAAGATGTCCTGCTCCTCTGACTGTAGCAAAAGTCAGTCCTTTATATTCCACCACATACCCGCCAACCTGTCATTATTCATAAAACTGTTCCATCATTTTCAGCTTCAACATACCATGACACCTTTTCCAAAATGCTTATTTAGGTTACAAAGATGGAGTGAGGCAGATAATTTTTCTATCATTATTCCCTTTTTACCTCATTCTTAGTGTACCATGGATGCCAGGCAGTCTTGATGGGAAGCTTTAAGGTGTTTATCAAGCTTCTGGATGAGGTAACAGGTACATTTGCATCTGTGTCGCCACTGCAAGAGGTTAAGATATTATCTTAAGGTATTCAGTTTGGGACTTGCAATTGATTGAAAATATCCTAAATTTTACTAATTTATACTCAGTTTTTTTTTTTCCCTCCTAATTTGCATGTTTTCTTTCTTTGGGTACAGAATTTGCATGTTTTCTTCCAACAGTTATATGTATAACAAGGCAATGTATCTTCTCTATTTGCTTACCTTGCATTGCTAATAGTTAATTCAACTTTTAGGCAATAAGTTCAGTTTTAGAGCATTACTTCAGCCTAAATTTGTTTACTTTTTGTTGGTATGTTGTCTCGTAATTTACAGCAGTGCAAATTCTTTTACTTGTATAAGTTGATTAAGTCATGCTCTTTGCCATCCTTACCTCATTCCCCGGAAAACCAACAGAATGAGGAAAATCGTGAAAAGGAACAAACAGAGAAAGATATATTAAGTTGGACATTGTTGAATTGAGATTACCTGTAAAGCCAAACTCTTAAGCCCTTTTCCGTTAGACTCTTGATGAGGGGTAAGACGGTGGTTGGACTATCAGTCCAGTTATGGAAGTGCCTGCACAATGGTAGGTTAATGTTACATTTTCTCAGTCACATTTAAGTTTATGTGTAATATTAATCTAGCACACCAAAATGGTGGTTTACAACCTGCAATGAGTCCATGTTGTAGGTTTTACATGGAAAGCTGTTTGCACCTCAGGGGTATTCAGATAAGAAGCCACATACGATTCTGAGCAGGGATCAAAATTATCAACCTGGTAAAGAAAATATACCTGTTCAGTTGTGTTCAACCTTACATAGATGAAGAGCATGATTTCTTAGAAAGATATTTATAATTAACCTTGTAGCATATGTTAAACTTACCGAACCAGGTTTGCCTATACTCCGTTCAGAGTTTTGGCAAATGGGGGCATAGATGTTGTGATCATCTATGTTACCAATTTCATAGCGAGAATCAGCAATGAAATCCCAACATTTTTCAGAAAGTGTCCAGTTCACAAAGTTACAGTTCTTGAAAATGCCCTTATATGTTTCATCTGAGTTCAAAGCATGAGTCCAGTAATAATTAAATTGCCCCAACATATTTGCTTTATCATCAATAAATGCATTCCCAATCTGAAAATTTATCAACAACAAGAAGTTAGGGATATATAACAGTGTGTGTGTGAGAAATAGACACAGATTGATGGACGTATGTTGAGTATACCGCAATGCCTCTAAGATTAATAACTGTTTTCTTGTTTTGGTTGTTGAGCAGAATCACATTTGCAAGTTGAGGAACATAGTGACCCGCATAGCTCTCTCCGGTAATGTATAAATCTCGGGATTTATAGTGTGGGAACCTTTCAAGCCAGTTGACAAGAAACGTGTAGGAATCAAATGCGGTGGCAGCATCACCTGTATAATTATAGTCAGAGGATATATTCGAATATGAAAAGCCTACCCCAGCCGGTGACTCCAAGAAGATTACATTTGCCACTGCCATAATCATAATCATTACTTTGTAAGTATGGTTTCCTAACGATATTAAAAATAGGAAAAGATGAACAGAATTCACTTAACTATGATAAAATCAGGTGCTGACCTTTGTTCCATGAATAATTGTTTAGGAAGAGTGTTTTGCCATCACTCATTACCCTGAAGGGTCCTAGTTCCATCATTGCTCCGTAACCGAATGAAGAACACCCTGGTCCTCCATTCAGCCATAGAACCAAAGGGTTGGTTGAAGAGTTCTCTGGTGACTCAACAAAGTAGTAGAAAAGAGCTCTTCCTGCCAGACGATCAACAGTCACATAGCCTGCATAATGGTTAAAATTGACGTGATCTGGTTGGCCAGGCAATGCACCAAGCCTGTCAGCTTCCATCAAACCATGTTGTGCTCCAATGTACACTGACGAATATGCTTCTGTGTTGTGTATTTTAGCTCGTGAATGTGGTGGAGGATGCTCCTCTGACCATCTGGACTTGAGCAAGTTGCGAAGATTATCTGCCTGATTTGCTTCAGCGGTGGAGAGAAGTGCAAAGAGGCAGGCAGAAAGTAGCATTCTTGTAAACCACTCAAGGTTCGTCATCTTGTTGCTTGATTTGGAGACTACTTTGTTGCATATACACTGAAAATGGAGTAAGATTGAGGTAGCTGGCTCGCCCTTTGCTACTTGGTTGTCTAGGGAGTCAGACAGATGAATGGTAACATCTCTAAAATCATAGGCAAAACCTTAAGAAGGGCATTGCTGTTTTTTGCGCCTAAGTTTTATTCTTTTGGTTTTTCCATGAATTATAGTTCACATGTTATTAAAACGTGCTTTTGGATGAAAATATGCGCCCTTTCTCTGTTGTCCTATTGAGCTGCGTCTAGATTTTTTATTGGACTGTTGACAAATAATAAAGAAAATTCATTTCTTCTCCACTCACTTTTGAATGTTTGTTTCTCACAGACTGAATGTTCTGTTCCTTACAGACTGCTTATATATGTATATATGGAATTGTCTGAAGAAGTATTGGCTTATCCATTTGGACATTTTCCAAGGGAAAAAGGTTCGTCAATTTATTTGACTAGCTAACTTAAAATCCAGTCCAACAGTTGTCAAAGCAAGTCCCGGGAGGACTAGGAGGTCAAACCATTATAGCAACTGGTTATTGGCTTTGATTACCAAAAAAATGAAAAGAACACTAGTTCTTGGATTTTAGCTATTGGACTCTCAAAATTCCTTTTCATGACTTCAAGCCTATATATTAGAAAACATGAGTGGATAAATTTCAATCCTTTCCCCAAAAAAACTCTCATTAAAAAAAAAAAAAAAACACCTTTTAAAAACCTTGAGTTTGGGGGCTTAAGGGTATAAATTTATTATTGTTTTGTTTTTTAACCACATTGTTATTTCTAAATATTGATATCTAGAACCAGCCTCCCCTGGGTCCTTCTTGGCCTTGGGGTTTGGGGTTCAAAGGCTGGTGAGAAGGATGAGGATCCAAATTCCAAAGATAAAAAAAAAATATATATATTGATATCTAGAAGATATGAATTCTACATATATTAGGGTAATAAATATACACTTTGTTAATTATTTAAATAGTTTAGTAATAATTTTTTTATTAAAAATAAGATATCTTGAATTAAAATTACATAATATTCAAGTATAATAGAAGAAATGTAAAAAGATTACTTCTTAGTATATAACACGAGATTTTAAAAAATACATATATATACATACTTCACTAATTAGGTTATGAATTTTTTTTATTAATTATGTAATCTAATAATAGAGTTATTTATGTTTTAGTAACAAGTTTAGGGTTTAATTTCTAATATCTATCTATAAAAAAAAAAAAAAACCGACAAAAAAAAAAAAAAAAAAAAAAAAAAAAAAATTTCTTAACATGATATGTCTTGTAAGTGTAATAAATGTATCATTTTATCATTGTACTCAAAAGCAATTCTGGCCACGTGAAGTCT